GCTTTTGTTTTTCTTATAACCGAGAAAAAGCCTTTATTTTGAAGTGCGTTTTTTTTTTTTTAATTTATTTAGTTTGAGAGACAGATTGTAAGCAGGGAGGGGCAGAGAGGGAGAGAGACAGACTCCCAAGCAGGCTCTACATTGTCAGCGCAGAGCCCGACGTGGGGCTCGAACCCATGAACCTTGAGATCATGACCTGAACCGAAACCAAGAGTCAGACGCTTAACCAGATGAGCCACCCCGGAGCCTCTGAGCTGCATTTGGTTTAAACAGTGTTGCAATTAAAAACAGACACACAAAGGGACAAAGAGAATACCCATGTATCCATACCTAGCTTCCATGGTGATCAGCTCTGCTTTTTTTGTTTGCTCTTTTTCTTTTCCATCTGTAGTGACCTCAGAGGTTGTCATTCCACCCAGAAATACTTCTGGATGTATCTAGGGGGTGCCTGGGTAGCTCAGGCGGTTAGGCGTCGACTTTGGCTCAGGTCATGATCTCACAGTCTGAGTTCCAGCCCCACATCAGGCTCTGTGCTGACAGCTCGGAGTCTGGAGCCTGCTTCGAATCCTGTGTCTCCCCGTCTCTCTCTGCACCTCCCCTGCTTGTGCTCTGTCTCTCTCAAAAATAAATAAACATGACATGCAAAAAGATATTTTTAAAAATACTTCTGGATGTATCTCTGATGAGAACGTTTTTGTGTGTGTGTGAGGTCACCATGCCATCATTATAGCCAACAGAATGAACAGTTTTAATTCCACCCAATGCCTGGTCTGTATTCAGTTTTCCCCGTCGTAACATTGGGGTTTTTTTTTTTTTTGGCAGTTCATTAGAATCAGGATCCCATGTTGCATTAGGTTATTGTGGCTCTAAGTTCTCTTTTGTTTTCTAACAATATCTTGTTTGATTTTTCAAAAAAAATTTTTAAATGTTTGTTTATCTTTGAGAGAGACACAGAGCATGAATGGGGGAGGGGCAGAGAGAGAGGGAGACACAGAATCCGAAGCAGGCTCCAGGCTCTGAGCTGTCAGCACAGAGCCTGATGCGGGGCTCGAACTCACGGACCGCGAGATCGTGACCTGAGCCGAAGTGGGACGCTTCCTGACTGAGCCCCCCAGGTGCCCCTATCTTGTTTGATGTTAATACCATCAATCTGCTGGAGCAGCTCTATCATCGGGCTTCTAGAATGTCCCTCGTTTTGCCTTTGGCGCATTTTGCGTCCTTGTGTTATCATTAGATTACGGTTCATCTGAGATTCAAGTTCAGTAATGAGGACTGCTTTAGGTGGGGCTGTGTACCTCCTGTTGAGTGACAACATGAGGGACATAATGTCTGCTTGTTCCCTTTTTAAGAGGCTGAGGTTGGGGCGCCTGGGTGGTGCAGTCGGTTGAGCATCTGACTTCAGCCAGGTCACGATCTCGCGGTCCGTGAGTTTGAGCCCCGCGTCGGGCTCTGGGCTGATGGCTGAGAGCCTGGACCTGCTTCCGATTCTGTGTCTCCCTCTCTCTCTGCCCCTCCCCCGTTCATGCTCTGTCTCTCTCTGTCCCAAAAATAAATAAACGTTAAAAAAAAATTAAAAAAAAAAGAGGCTGAGGTTGAGCAGAGGAATCATGTAGGTGTAACCCACAGGTGTTAATATCTATATGGTCTTTATTTCCCCCCGATGATATGTCTTTTAAGTCTCTCTTCTTTTAAATGCCCCTAGTGTTTCCACCTGAGGCCAGTGGGAGCCTCTTCAGGTTAACCCCTGTGTCCTGCCTCTAACCACCCACCCCGGTCCTGCGGCTTATGGGGCGGGGGGCGCCCCGGCCACTGCCCACGCGCTGCCGTCACCATGGTCCCTGACTCTGCTTCCTTTTTGCTGTCAGAGTGCCAAACATGTGAAAACCGTGTTTTCGGGCACTCTTCTGTGTAAGTCGCTGTCCGTGGCCCTTGGCCTGCAGCCCAGGCCCATGACTGGATGTTGGGGCACATTTGGTCTGGCCCTGCCCATCTTCAGCTCCTGACTGCACCATCCCGAGGTCCCAGGCCTCCCTCTCTGCATCCCCCACACTGTGTGCTCTGCCCGTGTCCTTCCCCTTGCCTCACTCCACCTCATCCTGGGGCTCAGCTCAGGCCAGCAGTTCGCAGCCCTGGCCGTACAGTAGTACATCGTCATCTGGGCAGTTTTAGGAAACACCAGTGCCCGGGCACCACCCAAGATCAATTAAGCTCTGATGTCTGGGGGTGAGGCCTGACTTGGCGGTTTTTAAAAGTTGGCGCAGGTGATTCTGATGTGTGGCCCAAGTTGAGAGCCAGGGCTCCTTCCTCTGGGAAGCTTGTCCTTGTGTCCCACACCTGCGTTACATGCCATTTATTACCTCCGCAGCATTACCGCTCTAATCCTGACCCCAGCTTTATCGAGACACAGTCGACGGCTAACACTGTGGGTTAAGCTGTGCGACGTGAAGGTTTTATCCTTGCTCTAACCACCTGGGCCTCACCGCGTTGACCCCTGGGTCTGTCCCGGGCCACAGGGAAGCTCCGTGCAGGCTGTGGCCACATCTGTGTGGCTCCCTCTGTTACTCCTCAGCACATAGTACAGGTTTGGCCATATTTATGAAATGGATGGGAGGGAGATATTGGGGCTGGATTCAGGGGTTATTTCGATGCAGGGACGTTGCTGCACCGAGTGGGACAGAGACCTGAGTCCCTTTCTGCTGGACATTTCTCACCCACCACATCTTCTGTTCCTCCGAGCCCCTTGCCCTAGACAAGAGGGCTTCAAACAGCCTGTCCTTCTCCCGGTCGCTTATCCTTTGCTACCCGTCCCCAGAATTTCCCCACCTCACGCGCCGCTTCTGAACTCACGGAATGTGTGGGAAACCCTTGTTTGCCACCTGGTCACATACATGCCGTGAAAATGTCTTCAAACCCATCCGTTGGGCACCTGGTAAAAGAAGTAGCTTTTATATTTTTTGTGAGTTTCTTTAGGAGTTTCTTGCCTTTGAAAGGCAGCTAAAGCCTTGTTTACTAGAGGAACAAAGTAATATTAAACTGACACTCCGGCCTTAAAAAAAAAAAAAGATTCTTGGGGAGCCTCGGTCGCTAATCGTCCGACTCTGGATTTTGGCTCAGGTCGTGATCTCACGGTTTCATGAGTTGGAGCTCCGTGTCAGGCTCTACGCTGGCAGCTTAGAGCCTGTTTGGGATTCTCTCTCCCTTGTTCTCTGCCCTTCCCCCAATTGCGCTGTCTCTCTCTAAATAAACAAAAAAACCTTAAAAATAAAATTAAAATAAAAAATGATTCTTAGATGATTTACTTGTTTAAAAAAAATTTTTTTTAATGTTTATTTATTTTTGAGACAGAGAGAGACAGAGCATGAATGGGGGAGGGTCAGAGACAGAGGGAGACGCAGAATCCGAAGCGGGCTCCAGGCTCTGAGCTGTCAGCACAGAGCCCGATGCGGGGCTCGAACTCACGGACCGTGAAATCATGACCTGAGCCGAAGTGAGACGCTTAACCGACTGAGCCACCCAGGTGCCCCATGATTTATTTGTTTATTTTTGGTTAGGTCTATTGAGGTGAACTCACCTACAGTAAAGCTGTCCATTCGCCCCTAAACGATCTACTCTGAGTTGTTTAACTTTCCATCACAGTGCTTTAAGTCCCTAAGTTGGATTTCAGGCGAGGTGTGATCTAGGACTCATGCTGTCACAGTTACTTCAAGGGAGACCTCCAAAACTGTCATGGACTGTGGTGCTGCTATGGAAAAAAAAAAAAAAAAAGGTTTTTAAAAAAAGCCTAGGGGCACCTGGGTGTCTCAGTGGGTAAAGTGTCTGACTTCAGTTCGGGTCATGCTCTTGTGGCTCACGAGTTCAAGCCCCACATCGGGTTCTGTGCTGACAGCTCAGAGCCCAGAGCCTGCTTCGGATTCTGTGTCTCCCTGTCTCTCTGCCCCTCCCCCACTTGTACTCTGTCTCTCTCTCTCTCTCAAAATAAATAAAACATTAAAAAAAAAAATTCCTAAAGCTGCGCAGGAAATCTTACCAAGAGCGGGGGACAGCACTTAATTGGTTTCTTATGGCTCTGGTCCTGTTGGCACCCATGACCCATCACTGCCTTCTTCCATCCACCAGAGGGCAGTGTTCTCTCTGCCTCCCCTTTGACATCTTCCCTTTCAAATTCTAGCGTTTCAGCTTCTGAAGTGATCTCCAGTGTTTCTCGAAATTTGATTTGCCTAGGTTTTTTGATTTTGCTAGAAACACGCCTTCCATTGCAACCCCGTACAGACTTACATCTGATGCAACTCTGCATCTGTATACGTAACAACCGTTTCATAAACTAATACTTGTCTTAATTATGTGTAGTATGCTGATATTTTATTACTAAAAAAGCATCAATCAAAAAAAAAATTTTTTTAAGTGCCAGTTGTTGCCCAAACTGGGTTCATGATTCACCAGTGGGATTGCAGCCCCTAACTGGAAACAGATTGGCTTGAAGTTCATCTCGTCAGACATCCTGCATGTTTATGGAAGTGGAGATGTGGGGTTCGAGAGAGTTCACCTGGTCACTGCCAGACTTAGAGCACCAGCCAGGACTCTAGACCTCTCATGCCTTGCCTGCACCCAGGTGACATTACTGTCGAGGTGCATCCAGTGCTCCAGTGAGTGACCGCCACAGGGAGGGAGGGTGTGATTGTGTCTTCCACTCCCAGCACATTGGGCTTTGCTCGATCAAGGAAAGAGTCAGCTCCGGCAAGGTCTTTACCAGATCAGTGCTGGCCTCTGGAAAAGTAAGCCCTTGGGAATCCTGCACAGGGGTCCTTCCCGGTGATTTCTGTTGCCTGAGTGCAGTAGCCACCGTCTGGGCAGCGGTTTGCTTTTGGGCCCAGAAGCCACGCACTGACTCGATCAGCAGATTCCACAAATGAAACAGGCAGGAGGCCGCCTGCCACTGAGAGTTTCTGCTCCCGAGATGGAGAAGGTGGAAGTTCTCACGTGGCCCCATCCCTGCCCCGTAGAATGCTTCCCAGAGGACGTTCAAGATCGACTACAGCCACAACCGCTTCCTCAAGGATGGCCAGCCGTTCCGCTACATCTCGGGGAGCATTCACTACTTTCGGGTGCCCCGCTTCTACTGGAAGGACCGGCTCCTGAAAATGAAGATGGCCGGGCTGAACGCCATCCAGACGTAAGTAGGAGGGCACTGGGCTCTCACCTGGGCCTAGACACCCGCGCCTGGAGACGGGCTGCCGCCAGCTGCGTTTCTCCGCGCGCCTAGCGGTTTCATTGCTCAGAACAGGAAACAGCATAACCTGGTGTTCTGGGAGGGGCTTGTCCTCAGCTTGACTGGCCCATCTTCAGATAATTAACCACTTCTTCCGATCTTGAACCTTGTCAATGGAAATCGTGAAGTGAATATCAGCTTTGAAAGGAAAGGGAAGTAACCGTGATTGAGTGCTTGCCGTGCGCAGGGCCCTTTACACAAAGGATTCCATCCCTTCACTCCCCTTTATGGCTGGTGAGACTGAAATTTGCCCAAGTGCCTATTTTTGGCCAGAGGTCTCCCTAGAACTTGAAGGTAGCAATGTTTATAGGCGGCCACAGCTTCTCTCAGTTCTTGGGGGAGTGTGCCAGGTTAGGTAGGTTCCTGAATCCCAGTTTTTCTTTGTGGTTCTGCTGGGGTACTTCTCTAACTCCAGATAGAGAATTACCCCAATAACTATCTCTCCTCGTCTCTTCTGCTGTTGCAAGGTGACTAATTGGGAGAAAAGCTGGGTTGGCTGGCCACTCTGGTTTTTGCACTACTGATGAGGATTGCCTCTTCAAGATAAAGGGTGAGAAAATGCAGAGGCAGAGGCCTGGGGCATCCATTTCCTCCCTGTAGTTGAACACTTAAGCTCTGGGGGACCGGGGCTGTCTGTGCCATGGAGCCCTAAAGCCATGGGATTGTGGAAAAGGGCCATAAGCCAGGGGTCATCCGAGAGACCTCTGCGATGGCAGTGGGTGGCTCCGTATTCCAGTTTGTGTCCCATGTTTTTGTCACTTCCTGCGTGCTGCTCCTGACAGAATCTCTTGTAGGAGGACACAAGGGTTGGAGGGGTTTTTTGTTATTGTAATAATTTATTTATCTTTTAATTTACATCCAAGGTAGCATATGGTGCAACAATGATTTCAGGAGTAGATTCCTTAATGCCCTTGCCCATGTAGCCCATCCCCCCTCCCACCACCCTTCCAGCAACCCTCTGTCTGTTCTCTATATTTAAGAGTCTCTTATGTTTTGTCCCCCTCCCTGTTTTTATATTATTTTTCCTCCCCTTCCCTTCCGTTCATCTGTTTGTATCTTTTTTTTGTTTTTTAATGTTTATTTTTGAGAGAGAGAGAGACAGAGCACGACCCAGAGGAGGGGCAGAGAGAGAGGGAGACACAGAATCCAAAGCAGGCTCCAGGCTCCGAGCTGTCAGCACCGATCCCAACACGGGACTCGAACTCACAAACCGTGAGATCCTGACCTGAGCCCAAGTCGGATGCTCAACCGACTGAGCCACTCAGGCGCCCCTTTCTGTTTTGTATCTTAAAGTATTCATATGAATGAAGTCATATGATATTTGTCTTTCTGTGACTAATTTCACTTAGCGTAATACCCTCTAGTTCCATCCACGTAGTTGCAAATGGCAAGATTTCATTCTTTTTGACTGCCGAGTAATACTCCATTGTGTATATATACCACATCTTCTTTATCCATTCATCCATCAATGGACATTTGGGCTGTTTCCATACTTTGGCTGTTGTGGATAGTGCTGCTATAAACATGGGGGTGCATGTGCCCCTTCGAAACAGCACACCTGTATCCTGTGGATAAAAGCCTACTAGTGCAATTGCTGGGTCGTAGGGTAGTTCTGTTTTTAGTTTTTGAGGAACCTCCATACTGTTTTGCAGAGTAGCTGCACCAGCTTGCATCGCCAGCAGCAGTGCAAAAGACATCCTCTGTCTCCGCATCCTCGCCAACATCTGTTGTCTCCTGTGTCGTTAATGTGAGCCATTCTGACAGGTGTGAGGTGGTATCTCATTGTGGTTTTGCTTTGCATTTCCCTGATGATGAGTGATGCTGAGCATTTTTTCATGTGTCGATTGGTCACCTGGATGTCTTCTTTGGAGAAGTGTCTATTCATGTCTTTTGCCCATTTCTTCACTGGATTATTTGTTTTTGGGGTGTTGAGTTTGGTGAGCTCTTTACAGATTTTGGATACTAGCGCTTTGTCTGATAATGTCATTTACAAATATCTTTCCCGTTCCGTTGGTTGCCTTTTAGTTTTGCTGATTGTTTCCTTTGCTGTGCAGAAGCTTTTTATCTTGATGAGGTCCCAATAGTTCATTTTTGCTTTGGTTTCCCTTGCCTTGGAGGGGTTTTCTTAATTTTTATTTTTATTAAAAAGCATTTTCAAAAAATAAATATCTCTTATTACCTTAGCATAGGTATTTTCATTTTCCCTAAGCCTTCCACAGGTATATATAATTTCTACATAGTAGTAATTAATGTTTATGTAATTCTGTGGTTTTTTTAAGTTGTTAAATAGGAATGGGCATTCTTTGTGGGTCATAAACTGAAATGTGTCCCCCCACCAAGTTTGGTTCACTTGGGTAACTGCTCTGAAAACTCAAGACAAGGCCTCTTTCCCAAGAGGCTGCCGAGGGGAGCTATGTGAGTGTCCTGAGGGTTCACAGTTCTGCTGACGGTTTAGAAATTCACATGAGGGGGGCGCCCGGGTGGCTTAGTCGGTTGAGGTCATGATTTCGTGCTTCTTGAGTACAAGCCCCACATCGGGCTCTCTGCTGTAAGTGCGGAGCCTGCTTCAGATCCTCTGCCCCCTTCTCTCTGCCCTTCCCCAGCTCATGCTCTCTCTCAAAAATATACAAACATTTAAGGAAGGAAGGAAGGAAGGAAGGAAGGAAGGAAGGAAGGAAGGAAGGAAGGAAGGAAGGTCACATAGGACAACTGGATTTTTGAGCTATTTCCAAGAAGGGGCTGTGTGTTTCTTGGCAGGTATGTGCCCTGGAACTTTCACGAGCCCCAGCCAGGACAGTACCAGTTTTCTGGGGAACATGATGTGGAATATTTTCTCAAGCTGGCCCATGAGCTGGGACTGCTGGTTATCCTGAGGCCCGGACCCTACATCTGTGCAGAGTGGGACATGGTGAGTGTGGCCAGACCTGGCTCTGCCCGGCTGGTGCGCATGACAGGGGCGGGCTGACTGGCAGGGATCTGGGGCAAAGTGAGTTAAAGCAGTTTAAATAGTTTCCCATTCCAGATGACAGTGAGTCTGTGACTACAGCCGGCATAGGGATCTTTTACCTCAGGAGGTGGCTAGGCAGAGAGGAACAGGGAAGGGTCCGAAGGCGTGCGTCCTCCCCTTGGTGCTCACATAACTCACTTTCCCCATCGGTTAACAGTACAGGCTCCGTCTACCTCACAGGGTTGTTGTACAATTAAGTGGGATGAGCCATATAAAAGCTTTGATTATTCTCCAAACACTCCATTCATGTGATGTCATCTTACTAGTAAAAGGAAGTTATGATTACTACCGTCCCTGAAAGTTCTACACCGCAAAGCCCGCCTCGACTACCCCTTCTTCCCTGAAAGTCTTCTTTTCCCTCACCGCTAGGAGTAATTTCTCTCTGCCTTGAGACCTCATGATGGCTTCTCACTCCTTTTGCCCCACCCCCCATCCTAGGGAGGATTGCCGGCTTGGCTGTTATTAAAAGAGTCGATTATTCTCCGTTCTTCTGATCCAGGTAAGTTGTTACAGGTGTCCTGAGAGAATGATGATGTCTTTCGCGACATTTTATACCAAAAGCAGCAGGTGTTTTGAAGGCTGGGGTTCTTCTGCACAGACACTTTGGAAGGCTTAGTGGAAGTGTGTTAGTCAGTGTCCACTGCAGACTTTGAATGTGTAGGAAATAAGGCTGTCTTGAACTGTTTGACCAGATCTTGCTGATAAACTGGTGACTCTGAACTGGCACTGGGCCCTGTTTGCGGTTGACCGACTGACTTTAATGCTTTCTCTTCCTACTTTCTCAATAATTACATGCCCAGTGATAGCATCTGGCTAATCAAAATGACAGGTCGTTTGTTGACCTTTACAGGGCGATCTGTAAAATGATAGTCTTTTTTCTGGCCTTTTTCAACAACTAGAAATTATTTTCGCTGCAAACCCTGATGAGGCAGAAGGTCCCAGTAGCTGCATTTCTGCCTCCTGAAGATGCTGGTCTCGGGACGGTCCGAAGAGCAGCTAACATTGATTGAATTTGCTGTGCGAAAGGCTGGTGTCCTATGCTCTACGTGTATATCCTTCTTAGTGCATTACCCTCCTGGTTTGCGGTCCCAGCACATTATTCATGTTTTTACCTGTATTACCTCATTTCGTCCTCACGGCCTCTTTACAAAGGGTGCGCTCTGTTATCTCCATTTGCCAGTGTCAGTATTTATTAAAGCTTCATTTTAAAAAATAAAAAAACACCCATCCTACTGTGACAAAGAGAAAGACACTCCCTTCAGGCACTCTTTTCTTCCTTCAACAAACATGGGCTGGACCAGCCTCCTGCGCTCCAGGCCTGGTGTCCCCGTGGTGGGGCAGAGACCATGCATGTGCTCCTTTCCACTGGGAACCCGCTGAGCAGATGGCTCCTTGTGGGACAGCTTTTATCACATCAGTGCGTGCAGCTACCCCGTCTCAGTCTCGCTGAGTCTGGCACATCCCGATCTCGGCTGCGAGCCCCAGGGTGACAGGGCGTCAGTGTGTGTGTGCACCAGAAGCTGTGGAACGGTGTTAAACCTGTCCTCTTTTCCAGATTACCTTGCAGCCGTGGACAAGTGGTTGGGAGTCCTTCTGCCCAAGATGAAGCCTCTCCTCTATCAGAATGGAGGGCCCATTATAACCGTGCAGGTAACCTCAGAGATGAGCATGGGCAGGTGGGGGGCGGGGAAGGCTTTCATCCGGCCGCATCGTACCCGGGAGCGATGCAGAGGTGGGCCTCACAAGCCTGTTTCTCTGCAAGGCAGTGCCACAGCTGGTGATTTTATATAAGCCACACTTTGGGGAGGCATTGTCGTTCGTGGCTGCTGTATACCGGACCCTGAGCTGACTGCCCTCCAGACGCCATGCAATTATTCCGACCGATGTCTCTTTGAAAAGAAGAACTTCAAAGGGGTGAAGTGACTTGGCCCAGGTCGCCCAGTGGGCAGGTGGCAGAGTCAGGATTGCATCCTAGGCCCACTGATCCCGTGGCCTGCCTCTTTCTCTGCTGCCACGTTGCCTGTGGCTGAGGGGGTGCAACACGGATTAAAATGATTTGGTGTCTGCCCTGCTTAGGCAGTCAGTTCATGCTGGTTTGAAAGAGGATGTGGTGAACTGGGGCCATTCTTCTGCTTTCTCTCCTGCTTCCTGCCCCCACTCTCCTCCTTCCCTGTGTTCTTTGCTCTGCAAGGACCGGTATATTGTGGGTACATCATGTGCCAAGTATTTTCCACGTGAAAAATTGGGGCATTTGACCTGCAACAATTTGTGATGTTTGCAAAATTACTTAGCTGAAACGCACAACCGGGGCGCCTGGGTGGCCCAGTCAGTTAAGCGTCCCAACTTTTGCTTTCGGCTCCGGTCACTATCTCATAGTTTGTGAGTCTCGAGCCCCGCATCGGGCTCCGTGCTGTCAGATTCTCTCAGCCCTTTCTCTCTGCCCCTGCCCTGCTCATGTTCTCTCTCTCTCAATAAATAAACTTAAAAACAACAACAACAACACATAAAACCATGTTCATTAGTCATTTGCCAAGGAAGAAATGTAAAAGGGGCTGCATCCTGAAACGGCAAGGGGGTGCAGTGCAACTCCCTAGAGAAGTGTGGGCAGGATTTCCTTCTTAGGAACAATACTATGGGCCGTTGTAGGAACGGTCCCTGTGGGAAGGGAGCGTGGCCACCCTCTTGCCCTTCAGGTGTAGGTCGAATGAGGCGATGAGAAGGCCGACCTGGCCACAGTGGCCACTCTGACCCTGCATGGGGGAGAGAGGCCAGCTCACTGCTCCCGGAGCACTGAACGCCCCTCCACCCGTCTTGAGTCTGTACTGGTGAAGCTTACAGGAGCCCGTTTTCCCACGTGAAGATGTCAAGGCTGCAGGTGAGTGTGGCTTCGCACGAATGGGTCTTCTTCCTTTGTGTTCACCTCGGGTTTTCTCTAGTTTCCCTCGTTTTTAAATCTCTGCTTCTTCCCAAGTCACTTTCAAGCTTCGCTCACAACTTTTCTGTACCTTTGGGTCGTCGACATGCCATGAGGAGTGTAATCGGATATGAATTCCGCAGAGGAGAGCAAAATTGGCTGCGTGAGGGGCATTTCTCGTGTGCATCCCTTGGACGACCTGAACTTGACTGTGGGTCCTGCCAGGGCCCTGCCAGCCGCCGCCTCCTCTGCCTCTGCCCTTCGCACCTCCCCCCGCTTGAATTCCATAATCCTTTTGCCCCTTGATTACTAAATACGTAAGTGTGGGGAAGCCTGGAAGAATGTAAGAAAACAGAGAAACCATAATTTGCTTCTGGAGTCAGAAGCAAAGCTCTTTACGTTCTGGGGAGATTTCCTTGATTTTTTTTCCATGCCTTTAAAACATTTCTTTTTACAGAGTCCGTGTAAACTGACCAGTTTCTTACCTGACTCTTGTTGCTTGAGCCTACGGTCATAAGCATTTTTTTCATATCATTAACGATTCTTCGCACCGGCCACCAAATTCATGGTGGCCTCTTGTCCACGTAGGCCCTCCTCTGCCTGGAGGCCTTCCCAGTTGGCTTGTTGGCGTCCCTGTGACTCTCAGAACCCCTGTTAGTGCCTCCGTTTGTGAGGCCCTCCTGGCACTTTGTCCACTTTCCTCCCTGACCAGTTGTGTCTCCGTTCTCTTCTCCCCACGTGTCTGAGGTCATACCGCACGTGGGTACACCTCACATGCTCTCCCCCCCGCCCCCAGTGGTTCCGGAATGGAACCGAAGCCCAGGGGTTAGAAAAGAAGGAAGTTGGCATTGGTTGACAGAACTTGGGCGCGCAAAAGTTTCTGAAACAGCTGTCTGTATTTCTCAGTGGGGTGTGCCTTTCACTCAGTGTCATACCTCTAAGATTCTTTGATATATTGGGTGGAGCTGAAGGTCATTCATTTTATGGCCTTAGAGCAATGTTTCTTAACTTCTTTTTCGTTATTGCCCCTAAAAAGCCTTTTTAGACATCTTTTTAATTAAAAATTTTTTAACGTTTATTTATTTATTTATTTTTTTGAGAGAGAGAGAGCACGGGCAGGGGAAGGGCAGAGAGAGAGAGAGAGACAGACAGACAGACACAGAATCCTGAGCAGGCTCCAGGCTCTGAGCTGTTGGCGCAGAGCCCGATGTGGGGCTCGAACCCTCGAACCGTGAGATCATGACCCGAGCCGAAGTCAGACACTTAACCAACTGAGCCACCCCGGCGCCCCTGTAGACATTTTTTTCTAATTTCCTGCCCACGAAATTTTAATACCTCTGATCTACTGTAGAAGTGTGTGTGTGTATACATCTGTGCTTTACATATAAAAAAGAGTAAGGTGTTCTTTTCTCCTGTAAGAATCCATTTTTACCTTCTTGGGCATGCCCTGTCGATGGGTGCGTCCCCGTGGGGAATGGGAGAACGCGTGCCCCAGGGCAGCATTTCCCACCCTCGGCACAAGTGCCACTCACAGCACCTGAAAATCCTTCGTTGTGGAGGCTCACAAGCAGCGGGCCTGGTAGCATCCCTTGGCCTCCACCCACCAGGTGCCAGCCGCACGCTCTCCCCCTCCAGATGTGACAACCCAAAGCATCTGCAGACCTTGTGAAATGTTCCCTGGGGGCAAAATAACTCCTGGTTGAAAACCACCGATGCTGTTGAATGCAGACTGAGCCAATTGGTTACTAAGAACAAAAACAAGAAGCGCCCTGAAAGTTTGGCAGTAGGTGGAGTAAACGGCAGTACGTCCTTATCTGGCACTTGCCCTTGTCGCCTCCATGGACATTTCGCATAGTGTGTTGAAGGTGGGAAGCCAGTGTTGTAACTGGTGCATGTATTATGATGATACCAGTTTTAAGAACAGAACAGTCTCTGTGCTTTATTCCGTGTACCTAGGGTGTGCGTGTGTGTGAATCTGGAAGGCTGACCCAGAATGCCCATAGCAGTTATCTCTGAGTAATGGGATTAACACACGGTTTTTCTAGTTTCTTTGCATTTCCCCACATTGTCTAATACTTCTACCGTGGGAAGGTGTTGTTTATGTCACGTTTAAAGGATCTATTACCCAGTATAGGGTAGAGCGTCACTACAATCCAAAATCTGACACGGTGGTTTTGTCTTTCTCATTTTGGTGGAGTGGGAGGTGGGGCGGTAAGTTTTCGTGCTGAGTTGCCCTTTGGAAGGTGCGTTTTGAGGACTGAGCTAGGAGATATTTGGGGCAACGGTTGAGCTTTGGCAGTGGTGGGGCAGGGGCTCAACCTGGAAGGACTGCCTGGAAGGACTCGGTCGGGATCTCCTGACCCCGCCCCTTTGTTAACTTGCAGGTTGAAAACGAATACGGCAGCTACTTCACCTGTGACTACGACTACCTGCGCTTCCTGCAGCGGCGCTTCCGCGACCACCTGGGCGGGGACGTGCTTCTGTTCACCACCGACGGGGCGCACGAGAGGTTCCTGCAGTGCGGGGCGCTGCAGGGGATCTACGCCACCGTGGACTTCGGCCCAGGTCGGTGTTCGCCGTCGCAGAGAACCGCGCCCAGGCCGCGCAGGCTCGGGCGGGCGGTGGGCGGTGGGCGGTGGGCGCCGGCCGGCACCCCGGGCCGCGCGTTTGCAGTGGGTACGTCGAGCGAGATTTCCCAAATGCTCCCCGACGGATCAAACGGAGTCAGTAGTGCAGCGCCCCCTGTGGCTCGCGTTCGTTATTTGAGTGAGGCCGATGGGCCCTTAGGGCGGGAGCTGCGTGGTTAGAGCTCTGCTCCCGAGGGCGGCTGCTAGGAGCTCCGCCCCCTGGCCGCGGTGGCCGTGGGCTCGTCCTTCAGGTCGGCTACCGGGTGGGTGGTGTGGCCCCGCCCTGGAATGCGGGGAGCCTCCCTACACGAGCGTGGTCTTTCCGTGGAACTCAACATCGTGACCCTTGCGGGCCGCGGGCGGTCGGGGAGATGCTGCAAAAAGGCCTTGACTCACCGGTTAGGGCCGTGTCAGCTGCAGGAGGCCCAGCGAGTGCAATTCCGGGGCGGCCGGCGCGGCCCCGCAGGCTCCCGGCTGTGACAAGCGTTAAGGGAGCAGCTGTCATGAAGGACAGCACACCCACAGGCAGTGTATGCTCCTGAAGAGGACCCCGGACCGGATTTGCCCGCTTTCCGTCTATCTGTGCTAAGAAGGCCATTCCCGGACAATTGCATTTTTGGAATCAAATCTGTAGATTAGATAACAGGATTGTTTGCATGTTAACCTCCCCCGTTTTTGTTTTTGTTTTTTTTATTTAAAAAAAAATTTTTTTTTTCAACGTTTATTTATTTTTGGGACAGAGAGAGACAGAGCATGAACGGGGGAGGGGCAGAGAGAGAGGGAGACACAGAATTGGAAACAGGCTCCAGGCTCTGAGCCACCAGCCCAGAGCCCGATGCGGGGCTCGAACTCCCGGACCGCGAGATCGTGACCTGGCTGAAGTCGGACGCTTAACCGACTGTGCCACCCAGGCGCCCCAACCTCCCCCGTTTTTTAAATAATCGTGTTGTGTCTATTTGAAGAATGCTCATGCTCTTCGGAGAATGTACCCTGAAGTATTTAGGGGTAAAGGGCCATCATGCCTGCAACTTATTCACAAATGGTTCAGAGAAAAGTAACTGTACTGAGAGAGAGAGAGACAAACTGATAAAACAAATGTGGCAAAATGTTAACGACTGAGGAATCTCGGTCCTTTGGGAATTCGGGTTCTTTGTTCTCTTCTCACAACTCTTGTATAAGGTTGAAATTATTTCAAAATAAATGTCAACCTCCCCCCCCCCACACACAAAAGACCTGCCCTTCAAGCAGCATGAAGGCCCTGCTGCCTTCCTGACAGTGTAAGAGGCTCCACCCCCATGGCACGACCAGCACTGTTTCTCTTGAGAAGGATGTGTGGAAGGCTGAAGTTGCCTTTTTATGTATTATTTTTTAAATAATTTTTAAAGTTTATTTTACGTATTTTGAGAGAACGAGCGCGAGCCAGGGGAGGGGCAGAGAGAGAGTATCCCAAGCAGGTTCCGTGCTGTCAGCACAGACCCCGACGTAGGGCTCGATCCCACAAACCGTGAGACCGTGACCTGAGCCGAAATCGAGAGTCGAACACCCCAGCGACTGAGCCCCCCGGGCGCCCCTGAAGTTGCATTTTTAAAGAGCTTCTTCTACATTCGCAGAAAAGAAAATAGCTGGTTTTAAGTGAATGAAGTGTTTCTAGAAACATGAGGCGTTGCTCAGAGTGTTTGGTGATGAAATAACTCGTCTACAAAGGGCTGCACAGGAAGCGGCACTCTGGTTTCCTCCTGCTTTGGCACACTTCCCATCACAGTGATGAAAAGCACGGTATCCTTGTGTCGGGAGAAACAGTTTGAAGGTTATTCTGACTTTGCTGTAAGGCTGATGTGCATGTGGGGTGAGAGCACAGTGGCTCCGGCTGTGGGTCGAAGACAGACCAACGTGAGGCCAGTGTATGTGGGGCAGGTGGGGCTCGTGGCCGCTTCATTCACGTGTGTGGGACGGGGCAGCGCCCAGGGTGAGGTCACAGGACGAGGCTCATGAGAACAGAACTGAAAGATCTGAATGCTACCCGGTGCTTAATGCTGAGACATTTACAGCCATAAAGTAAATGAGATTCCACTCTTGACCAGCACGTCCTCTCCTGAAGCCTGGCCTTACAGGGGGCAAGGGGTCATTTCAAGGTCTTGGCTGGTGTCATTTCCACGCCGGGTACCTGCTGTGGGAAGCGGATCGTAAACTTCGGGGCCGGCGCACCCTCTGCTCTGGTTAGAGAAATACTATTCGTGCTTGTTCGTTCGCTGCAGGAAGGCAGCCCACGGCCTCCGTGGGGAGAGGTTAGTCCCGTTCAGAGGGGGAAAGGAGACAGAGGGAGCAAGCCCACACACAGGCGTCTTAATGGAGTATTTTAGAAGGACAACTTAAGAGCAAGTGGCCTGGAATGGCTGACGATGTAGAGATTCAAAATCAGAGTGTGTGCCGTGACTCAGGCATAAAAAGACAATGAGACCACATCTGTCCCTTTGATTGTCAATGGCCTGGCACGTAGCTGTGGCATTAGTATGTGTGTGGGGGTGCCGTGGAGGCTGCAAGGAAGTGTCTTCAAAGCAAGCCCCATCCTGTAGGGAGCATCTCGGTCAACCATATGGACCTCTCTGTGAAGAGAGAAGGACGCAAAATGTGCGGGGAAACCCAGGTGGAGAAGACAAGCTTGTGACGGGATCTCCTGAGACAAGGCGGTCAGGAAAGACCATAGGGACCTGCTCTGAGAAGAAGTAACGTTCCGTGGTCCCCACACATCCTTCGGATGGATGGTGTGGGTCCAGCCTAAAGCTGACTGGGGGATGTTCCAGGCCCCCTGTGGGCCAAGGGCAGGGCCTCAGGCTAAAGGTCTGTGCAGGACTCTTTTTACTTGACTTATCATTCCCACGACTGACCTTTCTTCTCCGTCTCGTAACTTCCAGATGCCAACATCACCGCTGCTTTCCAGATCCAGAGAAAGAGTGAGCCCAGAGGACCGTTGGTAAGAACTGGGGGTGAGCTGTGGGTCGAGGCGAGGTTGCTTGCAGTAACTAAGGGGGAAGGTCCTTGCCTTTGCCGGCTGCGGAGTCCGCAGCTGAATGGGACCGGGGGCACGTGGCCCTCTGGGCACAGTGACAGCACTGGCGTGGAACACAGTGGGGACAGTTGTGCCCGCCCTGCCATGACTCGGGCTCCGCACTCTTTCATGCTCCCTCCCGCTCGGCACTGATGGCCCCTCTCACGGGGGGTGATGTTTTCTCCATTGTCGCCAAGGCTCAGAGAACACGTCACTTAGCCGGGGCCGTACAGCTGGCGAGGGCCAGGGCCAGCGTCTGAGTTCAGGTCTGTGTTTCTTGAGAGCTCTTTGCGACAGAGCTTCTCCGTCTTAATGTGCGTGTGAATCGCGGAGGAATCTGGGTAAGACACATGGCCCGCGTGGGGCCCGAGCGTTGGCATTTCCGACAGGCATCCTGGGGAACGCAGGCTGAGTTCGGGGGCTTTCTGGCATGCCGCAGAGGCAGCCAGGAGGAGGAGGCGACAGGAACGTCCGGGCAGGTCCGCACAGCCCTTCAGCTTCTCCCTTGTCCGTAGTTGTCACCCTTGTTTCTCGGCACAGTTTGAGGGCTGGGGTCCTGTGCCTTCTGTGCAGCTGGCCAGGCTGCCCCCCCACCCGTGCACACAGCCTTTCCTGAACACGGTCTCTGAGCAGTGCAGAACCTGTGTTCACAGACTGGATGGAGCTGTTTCCCAAACCCTGACACAGGCAGCCCCAGAACACGTCCAGGTTTCTTCTTCCTTCTCCAGACGAAGGGCGTGGCAGGGGCGTGCTCTAGAGAGCCGTGAAGTGCCTGGGGTTTGCTTCGCAGAATACTCGGGCAGGTCCGCCTCAGCTTACGTCAACCCGTGATCTGAAAATCCGGATGGACACAATGGGTGAACTTAGATCTGACAGTTTGGTGAAAATATTTTGCCATCGGATTCTTTTGCCCACCAAAATTTCCTGCCTTGTTCAAACTGGGGGCTGGCTAACAAAATTTTGTTGCGGGTACAACTTTTCAGGAATACCTGTATTGTTGGCACCTAAAAACTGAGTTTGAGCAGTGACCCTCATTGGTCCCCCAGCTTTGGGTTAAGCAGTACACGTACACGGCCCGCTCTACCCATCACTCGGTGGGGTAGATAGGGTGATGGTTCTAGAGAAGTGCCAACGTCTGAAGGTCATGAGTCTGTCCTGAGCTCCCTGTCCTTTCTTCTTTTTAGGTGAACTCTGAATTCTATACTGGCTGGTTAGACCACTGGGGCCAACCTCACTCAAGAGTGAGGACTGAAGTGGTAGCTTCCTCCCTCCATGACGTACTTGCCCATGGGGCGAATGTGAACTTGTGAGTGGTAATTTCTGGAAGGGAGGGCACCCTCCATAGCTATGGGCTCGTAGTTAAGTATGTCTGTTCTCTTGTTTCCTTGCAGGTACATGTTTATAGGTGGGACCAATTTCGCTTATTGGAATGGTAAGAGCAGTTTAAGGTGTTCATGGAAGCTTATGCTAGAATGTTTCTGGGGCTTGATTTGGGGGTAGGGAGTGCCTACAGACAACTTTTATTTTCTAATATATAGAAATTTCCTAATGCATAAGAACTGCCTACATAATTTTTAAAATCATGATAATTTTTTCTTAAGGAACAGAACCTGTCCACTTAGAAAGCCTATTGTTTATTTATTTATTTTCAAGTTTACTTATTTTTTTTTTAGTAATGGGGCTCCAACTCACAACCCCAAGATCAAGAGACGTGTGCTCTTCCGACCAAGCCAGACAGATGCCCCAGAAATCTTATTGTTTAAAAAAAAAATTTTTTTTTTAATGTTTATTTATTTTTGAGAGAGACAGAGAACAAGCAGGGAAGGGGCAGAGACACAGAATCTGAAGGGGGCTCCAGGCTCCAAGCTGACAGCACAGAGCCCGATGCGGGGCTTGAACTCACAAACCGCGAGATCATGACCTAAGCCGAATCGGATGCCGAAGCGACTGCGCCCCCAGGTGCCCCCCAGAAACCTTATTGTTTTAAACAAGGTAGCTGGGTGGGTCCCATAGTCTCTGGCTATAGCTTACTTGTTCACGTATTCTGCTGTGATCTATTTTCTTTTCTTTTTTTAAACATTTTGTTTTGTCGAGATATAATTCACATACCATAAAACTCACAATTTTATGAGTCACAGTTTAGTGGTGCTTCGCGTATCACAAAGTTGCATACCCATTACCACCACCTAGTTCCAAAACATTTTCACCACCCCAAAAAGAAACCCCTTACCGGAGAAACTCCCCACTCTCTCTCCTCCCGGCCCTTAGCAACCATGAGTCTGTACTCTCTGTCCTTGTGAATTTGCCTATTCTGGGCGTTGCTTATAAATAGAATCATACGCTATGTGGTCGGCTTTGTGTTTCACTTCTGCCCCTTAGGCAGGTTGAAAAGATGGCTCTTTTCAAGGTCCATCCATGTTGTGGGATCCGTACTTTAGCTTTTTTACTGATAAATAATATTCTGTTGCCCGGATATACAACATTTTGTTCATCCAGATGTCAAATTGATGGGTATTGGAGTTGTTACCACATTCTGGCCATTAGAAATAATGTTGCTATGAACGTTAACATGTAAGTGTTCATTTGAATCCCCGTTTCAGTCCTTTGGGTGTGTGCCTAAGAGGGCGTTTGCTGGATAATAGGGTAACTAACTTTTAAGATCAGAGTTTGAGGAGCTGCTATACTGTTTTCAAAGTGGCTGTACCGTTTCCCATTCCTGTATGGTCTCTCCCTTTTTATCAGGAAAAATTATGAAAAATTCTCTTCACTGCCATTGATTTTCACAGGCAAGTCATGCTATCTTAGCCTTTTTCTCAGGCTCTTTCCTCACCCCTCTCCACAGCTGCCCTTTCTCTCTGAATCACTGAGGATGCCCCCCAGTGCTGAGTTTTGGAAGCTTAATTTGGCCTGAACCTCCCAGGATCTGACCCTAATGAACAGCTCTCTTCTGTGCGAAGTGGGATGGGCTGGAAGACCTTGCCTACAAGTGTTACTGTTATTAGTAACTAACATCATCACTGTTATTAGAGGCAAGAAGGGAGATACTGCAAAACTCAGATGTCACTTCTTAAAAGATCACAGTATGCCAATTGAAGTTTTAGACTATGTCTGGGTGCCCATCTTCTCATTAGAAACAGTTAAGATTTTGTGGCGCCTTTTTCATTCAGTAGATAAGGATTCCACCTGCTTTCCATTCGTGGAATGGTACCAAGCATCCAGTCCAGGAATGAAGACTGATATTTGGGGGGAACTTTGTAGCTCACGATACAATTTTTTTTTATCTTGTACTATTTTACATAAAATGATACATTCTTCTTTTTTGAAAATTTAGATCTATAAAAACGACCACTCAGAAAATGGAAGTTGTCTTCAATCCTTTGCCTTGCTCCTGACCCTGTTATAAATAACAAGTCTCTCTTCTGCCTCTGTTTTCTCAGTTAGTTCTCATAGCAGTCTCATCTAGGCCAGAGATCATGGACCCATTTTACAGATCAGAAAAGCAGGGTGCAAAAAAAAGTCCACAGGTTTCCCGTTCAGCTGGCAGGGGATAGGACTCGAACTCGGGCCTTGGAAAGCTGGTCACTGCCCTTTGGACCACCTCTTGCATCCCAAAGCCCTTGCACCAGCTCCCAAACCAGCCCCTCCCGTGTTTGTGGGCCTCTCTGACCTGCCCTAGTGCTTGGTCTCCTGGGGGGCGTGGGGGAGGGCCAGCGTGTGCTTCTTTGTGGCCGCTCCTCAGGCCAGATCCCAGAGGAGCGCCGTGAGAGGGAAGGCCCCTGGCAGGGAGCTCACTGCCCGTCCTGCCCACGGGGGATGCACCTGTCCGTGCACGTGTGTGCACCCCACTCTGCCTGCGTGCATCCCCATCTGTGAGGCCTCCTGCGGGACCCAGGCCATCCTGGACTTCTCACACGACGTGCAGAGTTGCGGAGCGGTGAGCCTTGCTGTTTCGTTTGCCTTCCCACCTTGCACTCCCTACCACGGGCAGAGGACGCTTGAGTTAGCGCGCTTTCTCTCCGACACTGCCCTGGGGTGGTCTGAGGGCATCCAGAGAAAGATTCTGTGGGTGAAACCAGAGCAAAGACTTTTTCAGTCCGTCCTTTGACCCACTGGCCAGCTTCCGTGCCTGGCTTCCCTTGGCCTGTGATTTTGTCTCTGGGAGTCACATTTGTTCAGTTCAACTTGGTGACCACTGATTGAGCTCAGCTGTGGGAGTGAGCTCTGAAGCGTAAGCTCTAGGGGCAGGCACCTGGTGCGGTGCCACTCATATAAATAGGAAGGTGGGCAAGGTGACTGCCACATTAGGGGTAGGAGATGAGCTCCTTGCAACAAGGGATGTGGTTTCATGTTTCTTTGCATCTCACAGCAAAGGATGTGCTTTAATGTATGTATCCCCACAGGCAGGTGGATCTGTGGGCAGGCCACTGCCTCCAGTCAAGAAAAAGCGAGGTAAAGGAAGGACTGGGTCAGTTCAGTTGCTTAAGTGGTCCCAGTCCCTCAGACATGTAGATTTTGTGCAGACAGAACTAATGAAACGGGGTGTTGGGGGCTGACCTAATCCTCGGCCCCGCTCATCTGTCAGTTCCACCACCAGTAGGATCCCCCAAGGTCCAGTAGGATCCCCCAAGGTCCAGTAGGATCCCCCAAGGTGGCGCCATCATTCACGGGCTGTGGGATCAGATCAAGGAGTTCTTACTAAGTCACAGGTGAAATGTCAGACTTTGTGCCTCCTTTGCTTAACGGTTAGATATGGTATGAGATGATCCTAAAGCAGCTTTATTCTCACACCCTTGTGTTGCAAAATGCTCTTAGGAGTAGAAGAGAAAGGCCTGGCACAGAGCCTTACTAGTCCACAGGCGCCAGCATCAGCATCACCTGGGAGCCTGTTAGAGACCCTGGCTTAGTCGGTTGAGCGTCTGACTTCGTCTCACAGTTCGTGACTTTGAGCCCTGCACTGGGCTCTGTGCTGATGGCTCGGAGCCTGGAGCCTGCTTCCGATTCTGTGTCTCCGCTCTCTCTGCCCCTCCCCCACTTGTGCTCTGTCTCTCTCTCTCTCTCTCTCAAAAATAAATAAACATTGGGGCGCCTGGGTGGCTCAGTCGGTTAAGCGTCCGACTTCAGCTCAGGTCACAATCTCGCGGTCCGTGAGTTCAAGCCCCGCATCGGGCTCTGGGCTGATGGCTCAGAGCCTGGAGCCTGCTTCGAATTCTGTGTCTCCCTCTCTCTCTGCCCCTCCCCCGTTCATGCTCTGTCTCTCTCTGTCTCAAAAATAAATAAAAAAACGTTAAAAAAAATTTTTTTAAATAAAAAAAATAAAAATAAAATAAAAATAAATAAACATTAAAAAAAACTTTTAAAGGAAGGCAGAGTCTCAGGTCCCACCCAAGACCTGCTGACTCAGAATCTCCGGTGCGGTGGGGCTTAGGAATCTGAACAGGCTCTCCATGTTGCACGGGTAAGTTTTCTATGTAGTAGCACAGGCTCGCTACCCACTAATGCACCCAGTCTCCTGCCTGTGAACATCATCTGTGACAAGGCTGGGGCCCACTGGTCCAGACCTTGCCCCTGGAACGATAATTGCAAGGCCCTTTACCTTTCTAGTCTTTGCGTACACAGTATGATCAGTGTTATTGGTCTCTGTGGCAGGTTTCGTTCCCTGGGAAACGGACCGTGATTCCCCAGCGGGAGGTTCTTGGGGCACATTCCAAGAGCAGCACCTTCAGAGAGTGTGGGTGGTGGCCCTGGGCACTGGGAGGCAGTTGAGGCCGGAGGGAGTTCTGGAGTGGCTCGGCTGGTTCTAGAGAGAGCTCTGGAGCTGGGACACCAGGGGCTGGGTTTTTGAGCCCTCGTGGTCACTTGTTGCACATGCGCTGTCCCCCGAGGGCCATAACCTTGGCAGGGTGGCCCAGCAGAGGCCTGAGAGTAGAGGGCGCATCTGAGGGCTGTCAGCAGCCAGCCGTCCCGGGAGCTGGGGGAGTGAGGGCGTGACTTGCTCCTGAAGGGGCCGGGAGAAGACCCCGCAGGTCCTCTGACCGCACAGGCGCTAGAGGCCTCACGGTGACGCTTGACTCCGTGGGGTAACGTGTGTCTGCAGTCCTCTCCCGTGTTGTGTCCGAGGGCATGCGAACGATCGCAGACGTGGGTCATGCCAGAAGCCTGGCATGACTCGTTTGAGACACTGACCTCATTTTGTGGGAGCTTCAGCTCCCTGCTGGTTCAGTGGTGGTGACATCTGCTGGGGTCCCCGCTGAGGGCTCTTGCTGGGCGGATGGGCGGGGACGGCGCCTTATAGGCTCTAAGGTGCTTGTGAAGGGCCACCTGCTGGAAGAAACGCGTTTCTCTAAACCTTGCCTCCTCAGGGCCACCTCTGTGTCATTTGACAGTGGGTTCTAATGTGCCCTTTATGTTCTCCCCCGACAACAACCCTGAGCCCAGAAATCCCAAAGAACTTGTCCCGGGGGAGGAGGGCCCTCAGTAGTTACCAGTGGCATGTTTTTGTCTTCCAGGGGCCAACATCCCCTACCAACCACAGCCCACCAGCTACGACTATGACGCCCCACTGAGCGAAGCAGGGGACCTCACTGACAAGTATTTTGCTCTGCGGGACGTTATCCGGAAGGTGGGTGCCTGGTCCGGGCCACAGGGAGTGGGGCTTGGATACAGCCTGCTTTGGATGCGTTGTGCTCTGTAGATGAGTCCCTGGAGCCCTTGTGCTTAAAAGGGCGTATGGAGGGGAGGCCTCAGGTGGATTTGGTTGGCCTTGGGTCTTGACCCTCACCTGATTAAGAGCGAGCCTGTGAGCACGTTACTTCACTCGTCTATTCTTTGTGAAGCTGGGACAGTAGCACCTCATTGCATCATAAGGACCGAAAAGGACATCTGTGGGGCCCCTGGGCGGCTCAGTCTGTCGAGTGGCCGACTCCGGCTCAGGTCACGTTCTTGAGGTTCGTGAGTTCGAGCCTGCTGCTGTCAGCGCGGAGCCTGCTTGGAATCCTCTGTCCCCCCGCCTCTCTCTCTTCTCCTGCCCTGCTTGCGGTCTCTCTCAAAAATAAATAAACAGTCAAAAACAAAAAAGACCATACATAAGGCATCCGGTATAGGCCTGGCACCTGTGTTGTCCGACAACTGGTGGCCGTTCCAACTGTTTGTACTGAAGGTAAGAAGATGTGTGTCCACGTAAGTAGCTGAAGCACGTAGGAGAGAAAATCCGCAGGCTTTGTGAAGCATGGTGCAAAGGTGAGCTATCAACAGCACCTCCGTTCTTCATCTGGGGCAAGTAAGTGCCACTTCCGTTTGGCCTGCCAGCCGAACGCTCAGTCCTGCTAACAGTTGTGACCTTTTGAGGCATCTAAAGCACCCAGGTGGGGTTTCCTGTCTCTGCTGTGGGTGTGAAAAAAAAAAAAACCAAACCACAATTTTTCTGCTCAGTCACCTGAGTTTTGAAGTTAAAAAACAAAAGGTTTTCTGCCTATAAATGGTATGGACCTTTTTTTGGTTTAAGGATGCCTTAGTCTCAATTTAAGCCTACGTGTACAAATTCATCTTATGAAATACTTTAAGCGTACTGAAAAATGTGGTCAATACTTAACTCCTCTAAGAATTTGCCCACTTTGCCTGAATTTTCAGATTTATGGTTGAAATGTTGCACTCGCTACTTTTTACTATGAGTTTCGTCTTCGCAGAGTTCATAGCGATGACTCCCCAGTTCTCTCTTGTATGTTCGTTCTGTTTCAAAGCTCCTTGTGCCTCTCTTTGGCATTTCCTTCCTTTATTTGAAACTTAGCTTTGTAATTCAGCCTTTCTTCTTTCCTAATATAAATATTCAAGGTTATGTATTTCCTTCAGGTTCCTCTATAGCTCCTTCTTCTAAGTGTTGATATGTAACATGCTTACTATAGTTTGCTTCTAATAATGCCTGTTTGGATTTCTCTTTGGCCCTAGAAATGTTCAGAAGTCGTTCAGAGGTAGAAATTATTAACATGATTATTTTTATAATTCGTTGGCTTATAACATATTTGCATTCTGGGTAGAGAGCATGGTCTGTATGATGTGAATCCCTTGAAATATGTCAAACCGAGTCCTGGAGCCTGGCATGTATCAATATGAGTCAATGTTCCATGTGTTCTTGAAAAGACTGTATGTTTAGGGGGCGCCTGGCTGGCTCAGTCATTCGAGCAACTCTTGATTTCTGCTCAGGTCATGATCCCAGGGTCGTGGGATTGAGGGCCATGTTGGGCTCCGCACTGAGCATGGAACCTGCTTAGGATTCTCTGTCTCTCCCTCTGTCCCTCTCCCCTGCTCGCATGCTCTCTTTCTAAAATAAAAGAATAAAAATTAAAAAAAAAAAAAAGACTATGTTTTAAAAAATTTTTTAATGTTTATATTTAAGAGAGAGAGAGACAGAATGTGAGCAGGAGAGGGGCAGAGAGAGGGGGAGACACAGAATCTGAAGCAGGCTCCAGGCTCTGAGCTGTCAGCACAGGGCCTGACTCAGGGCTTGAACTCATGAACCATGAGATCATGACCTGAGCCGAAGTCAGACGCTTAACCGGCTGAGCCACCCAGGCGCCTCAAGACTATATGTTTTATAATTGTTGGATATCATCTATATACGTGTTCCTGAGGTTAAGCTTATTAATGGTGCTGCTGATATCTTTGATATCCTTCCTGGCTTTTTATCCATGTATTCTATTATTTGTTAAAGGATTGTGTTTCTCTTTGTAATTGTGTATTAGAATTAGGCATGCAAATTGAGAATGAAATCTTTCAGTATCATTTATTTAGTATCATCATGTATGTAGCCCTGTATCTCTAATAATGCTTTTTACCTTCAAGGGTTTTTTTGTCTGATACTAATGCATTTTTTCGGTTAATATTTACTGCTACATCTTTCACAATACTTTAATTTCAACCTTTGAATATCTTTTTTTTTCACATGTCCCTCGTTAACAAGATATAACTGGATTTTTGAAAAATCTAGTTTAAACATTTTTTTGTCTTCTAATTGGTACATTCATTTATGCTCATTCATTATGATTCTTGATATACATTGATTATTTTCAATTGTCTTACTTTACAAGAATCTATTTGTTCACCTTTTTTTTTTTAAAGAATTTTTGACGTTTATTTTTGAGAACAGAGGGAGACAGAGCGCAGGCAAGAGAGGCGCAGAGAGTGAGGAAGACAGAATCCGAAGCAGGCTCCAGGCTCTGAGCTGTCGGCACAGAGCCTGACGTGGGGCTCAAATTCACACACCACGAGATCATGACCTGAGCCAAAGTCAGTCGCTCAACCAACTGAGCCACCCGGCACTGTATCTCATATTAAGCCCACTTAACATTCCTTGTGACTTATATGTTTTATTCAGGCCATGTATTTTAGTTCCCTTAGGTTTAGAGTTCATGTATTTTAACCCTTTCTTTTAAAAAATCCCATGGGGCACCTGGGTGGCTCAGTCGGTTAAGCGTCTGACTTCGGCTCAGGTCATGATCTCAGTGATCTCGCGTGAGTTCAAGCCCCGCGTCGGGCTCTGTGCTGACCGCTCAGAGCCTGGAGCCTGCTTCCGATTCTGTGTCTCCCTCTCTCTCTGCCCCTCCCCTGTTCATGCTCTGTCTCTCTCTGTCTCAAAAATAAATAAACGTTAAAAAATTAAAAAAAAAATAAAAATAAAAATAAAAAATCCCATGAGGCATTATAATTATATTAGACACTATTTGACTTGACCCACATTGTTTGTTGATTCACAAGTAATTCCACAAATGTTTGGCAAGTTCCCTCTGTATGCCAGGTATGGTTTTGGCTGTTTGGTATATATAAGGCTTCCTTGAGAAGGTAAAGCTGGAGTGAAGACTTCAAGGTGATAGGACAGCCATGTGGGACATCCGGGGTGAGAGCATGCAAACGGAATGTCAGCAGTGAAGAGGCGGCCATGTGCATGGCATTTCATGTACAAATTGTCCACCTGTGTTTCTTCTGTGTACTACCTGTGCGGGTTCCTTCCCCGTTTCTCTGCCTATTTGTTTTCTGTGTAATTTGCAAGAGTTCTATTGTGGCATTTTTACCAGTTTGGGGGGTTTCTTCAGTGTTTTTTTTCCTGCGAAAAACAGTCCTGAGTTATTATATAGTCAAATGTTTCACTTCTCTCTCTCTCTCTCTTTTTTTTTTTAATTTTTCTTTAATGTTTATTTTTTTTTTTTTATTTTTTTTTTCAACGTTTATTATTTATTTTTGGGACAGAGAGAGACAGAGCATGAACGGGGGAGGGGCAGAGAGAGAGGGAGACACAGAATCGGAAACAGGCTCCAGGCTCCGAGCCATCAGCCCAGAGCCTGACGCGGGGCTCGAACCCATGGACCGCGAGATCGTGACCTGGCTGAAGTCGGACGCTTAACCGACTGCGCCACCCAGGCGCCCCTTTAATGTTTATTTTTGAAGGAGAGAGAGTGTGTGAGTGGTGAGTGGGGGGGGGGGGGAGAGGGAGAGGGAGACACAAAATCCAAAGCAGGCTCCAGGCTCTGAGCTGTCAGCACAGAGTCCGACGCAGGGCTCGAACCCACAAACTGAGATCATGACCTGAGCTGAAATTGGACACTCAACCGACTGAGCCACCCAGGCACCCCTCATGGCTGCTTCCCTAGCCTAGTAGTAGAAATAAATTCCTGTGGGGTGCTTACAGTTTTTATGACTTCACATTTTATGTGCAAATATCGATGTACGTGGAATTGCTAGTTTTGCTGTTGGGAGTGAGGTTGGGATTCAGCTTTATTCATCTCTTAAGTTACCAGCCGGTTAAAGTATTTGGGTCTGTTTTCAGATTCTTTTATGTTACTGAATTTTTTTTCTCCTTTCCCAACACCAAACTGTTTTAATTGTTATTTTTACTATGTTTTATTATCACCTGGGAGGACTTGTCTTCCGTGTTTAGTCTTTCAAAATTTCCCTGGCTACTCTGTACGTTCATCTTCCACATACGCTTTGGTATTATTTTATCAACTTCAAAAAACAAAACAAAAACCCAGGAAACCTATTGATGTTTTGACTCATTTTGTATTAAATTTGTGTATCAAATTAGGGGTGAAATTTATGACGTGGAGTCTTAGCCAAGAAAAGTTGCTTCTCCTCTTCAAGTCTTTTCTGATGTCCGTCTTGTTTTAAATTTTCTTAAGATAATCCTTGTCCATTCCTTAATATGCTTATTCCCAAATATCCTGTTTTTTTAGATACTCGTAAAGTGAGTCTTTCATTTCTTAATACAGTTATTAGATATATTTGTCTTTAAAATATGAAATACTCCCAACAATTTTAAGTGTATAAAATAATGTTGCAAACACCCATGTGCCCAGTACCTAGATTTAACCCTGGTTATCTCTCTGCCCCTCCCCCGCATTCATTCATTCTCTCTCTCTCTCTCTCTCTGTCAAAATAAATACACTTAAAAAAATAAATACATAAAGTCCACAATTCAGTGGTTTTTTTGGCATCTTACATTATTAACTTTTTAAAATTATGATAAAGTATATAGAACATAAAGTTTGCCATTTTAACCATTTTTAAGTGTATGATCGATCCAGTGGCTTTAACTACATTCATAATGTTGTGTAACCATCACCACTGTCTATT